ACATCGAAGCAGTTCTAGGCAATTATAACCGTCACGATCTATGGCGGCTTCTGAGGCATCTCTGTGGTAAGAGCGTTTGCAGCCGGAGAGGTGAAGAGGATGTGGATAAACTGAATTCGGAGTTTACTCCCGCCTCACTAAGCTCATCTCCCTTGCCCTTCTTCACTCGCTTAAGTCCAGCCGCGCCCTCCGATCAAACCAACGTCCACAAGGAACTCAAAAGATTAAAGGCGACAAAAGCTTGTGCTCCTGATGCTGTCTCACTCTTACCTTCGAGGGAGTTTGCTGATTCTCTCACACTGCCTCCAACAGACTTCTTTAACAAGTGCCTCACTACGGGTGTGATCCCGGACATTTGGAGAGCGGCCAGTATTACTCCAGTACCAAAAACTGGATCTCAAAAGTATCACCCAATTGCATGTACATCTGTGCCCCTAAACCTTTCCGAAAGATTGTTAATTCCGCGGATTCTTTCAGCCGCTCCTGAAGACGATATCTACCAGTTTACGTATAGACCCCAGCGCTCCTCATTGGATGCAGTGGCATGTTGTTCATTCTATGGCCTCTGCATTAGACCAAAAATGTAAATCCGTACGGCTTCTGTTTCAGGATTATTCGAATGCCTTTAGAAGCCTGGATAGTTCAAGGTTGCTAAACCTGCTATCCGAAAATGGAGTTCACCATGGTGTGTGTAATCTGTTACGTGACTATTTTACAGATCTTACTCACTTCACTAAGTTGAACGGCGAGAAATCCTCTATCCTCCGTGCCGACTGTGGTGTTCTACAGGGAACGATCCTATCACCTTTTCTATTTTCCTTGTATGTTGAACATCCCCTTATACAAATCACGTTTATAGGCTGTAAGTATGCTGATGATGTGCTGGGATGTATGTCCCCCATTAACCATGATTCCTCATCACTTCAACTTGGGTTTGATGATCTGGTGAAATGGTCTTCATCCAGATCTCTTATGCTTAATGCTTCTAAATGCAAGGATGTAATATTTTCTTTACGTGGTGATAAGTTGCAATCCGTCATAGCTTTCTCCCCCACACTTACTGTGAATGAAAATCCCATACCCAGCTCTTCAACTGTCAAGTATCTCGGCGTTTTTTGTCCCAGAACCTTTCTTGGTCCGCGCACGTCTGTACAACTTTTCAAAAAATCAGAAACTTTTTATGCCCTCAGACTTAAGCAGCTTTCAGTACCTCGTACTTTAATATTCAGGTTTGTGACCATTATTCTCCATTGGCTATACTGCTCCCCTTCCATTTCCCTGGACTGCTTCAGAAAGACTACATCTTATTGGTTCGGTCTATAAAGCACATTTCTAGATGCAGCGGCTTGTCTAGAGATTCTTTAGTTGATTCGATTATTTCTAGACATCTTGGTGCCTACAATGATTTTTCTTCTAAGGTACTAACTGATCGATTTCATCCACTTCACAATGACCTTTCCAAAACGCTTTCTTTCTCTTCTACCCGTTCGAAATTCAGAATTTTACTTTCCCGCACGTCATCATATCGTAAGACTGTTTTGCCTTATCTCTCACGATTGCTTGTTGACCCAGCGAAAGTCACAAACATGCTGTGCGAGCGCTTGTTGGAGTAACAGTTCTGCTTTTTTCCACTTTTCTACCCAAACATGTATATTGATATTACCATCCAGGTATTCGCAGTGATGGTGTAAATGCTGAAAATGAACCCATTAGGGTACATAAAACTTATTTTTACTTGATTTGACTTGAATACGGGTTTAATCACCATATCATGATCATGGCGCATTAGCTGAAGGTGAGCAACACACTTTAGCTATTTTACCCTCATAGGAACGGAACTGTTTTGGTTATTTTTACACACGCCATTAAAAAAACTCTTTGCCTATTTCAATTCTTAAGCATTAGACGTCTGAATCTAAATAAGTGTGTACAGAAATCTTCCACTGGTTTCGATTGCGCACCATATCTTGCAATGTTTCTAACCATCGGCACTCTTCATCCTTTGGTCCTCAACTAGACAGGCGTGTGGATCCAACGGCAGCAAGACGTGAAGTCAACGGTTTTTTATATGCTGACGCAAAATGGACGGCTAACCACCACGCGGTCCCTTCCAGCCAAGCCCTTCACGAGCGAAAAGGGTGCAGTAAGGCAAATGATCAGCTGACATGCACGGCACGTGACTGAGCTATCTTAGCTGACGTAGCAAAACTAGCTTGTTGAGGGGTATACTCGCATCCCCTAGGACACGACTTCAGACTTCACCATTGGTATCACGTTGCTCCCACCACACACGAGCAATCCTCCTCAATGACCCATTGTCAGAAGCGGAGAGCCGGTGCACGTCATCCACGCGATCTGGCCACATAGCACCTTCACCCGAAATAGCACAGTACACTCGACCCTTTACCAATAGGGAGATCCCTACGATGCCACAAGTGCTTCAGGTTGACGAACGCTGTTTGGGCTTAGGCGATGCGGAGAGAAACTTCCTTATCAGTAGAGCAACCAGCAAACACACAGCTGCCAAGGTAGACAAAGCGATCCGCTTGTTCAAGCTGTGTGCCATCAAGAGTGAGCACGGGAATGGACGAGCGCCAATCCTGGAGCAGCATTTTACACTTCGGTGGGGCCTCAATCGCTAAACGGTTTAGAACGGTTTGAATGTTGTGTGAGTCATCCCCAAGTAAGGCGATCTCATCGGCATAGACTAAGTCAGTCGCATGTTTGCCAGGCAGTAATTGTAGTCCAAAATTTTGACAACCTAATGCTCTCGACAGGGTGTCTTCAATCACAGAATTGAAGGGAAAAGGAGAAAAAGGGCAGCCTTGTCGTACGCTGTTCTTGACAGCAAATGACGACGAAAGCTTCCCACAGACCCTCAGTCTGCCGGAGATGTGAAGGTAGAGTGCGCGTAGGATGGTTGTATACTTTTATGAGACCCCGTTCCCTTGCGAGCAGCGTCATAGCGCAGGTCGATCAACTGAGTCGAATGCAGCGCGGATGTCTAAAAATGCTACGATGGTAGGCCTTTGGTAGAGGTGGCGGTGTTCGGGAATTTGGCGGAGCGTGAATATTTGATCTGCGCACTCACGGCCAGGACAGAAACCAGCTTGTTCTTCTCGGTACTGTCATTCATTGCGAATTTACGGAGTAGAATGAACCCGAAAAGCATGGGAGCAACCGAAACGATACTAATCTCTCGGTGATTTGTGCATGAATTGCGAGCACCCTTCATATAGATCGAAACAAATACTTACACGCCCCAGGAAAAGGAACCTTTTCTTCATGCCATTTAAGAGAACCAAGCTTAACTGGCTAATGGTAACTGCGCCTCCATACTTAAACAGCTCCGGAGGAAGTCCGTTTGAGCCAGCAGCCTTAAGTCTTCTGAGATGTCGAATCGCAAGACAAACTTCCGCTTCACTGGACGGATCAAGTGTAATGATCCAGGGCGAGCGGCTTGGTTCGCAGGGCACACAAGTGAACGGTGAGGGCCAATCGAACTGGGAATGAAAATGTTCGGCCCATCGACTCAAATGTCTCTTTAGGTTGGGAATCAGCGAACCATCCGCTTCGCAAATAGTTTCACTGACACCAGGCTTTTCTTAGCCAGTGGATCGAATGAGCTGAAAGAGCTTGCGAGTATTGCCAGACAGGGCGGCGACCTCCATTTCCGAAGCGCGCTGAGACCACCAGAGTTCAAGATCACAACATAGGCTTCGTTCGAGCTGCTGACTGACAGAACTGTTCACTTCATTCTGGTTGGACTCCGCAAGGTATTCCTGCGGCGACCAAATAGATCTAAAGAGCGCGTGGAGATCCAGGCCTTCGTAGGGTGCTGAGTAAGACCACATACTAGCTTCCCGGAAGATATCATGGCTCCCAGCACGAACGTCCAGTGTTCATCAGTGTCTTGCGGAGGATCACAACTAAGTGCATCGGCCATGGAAGCTTGGTAGCTAGGTACTTCATCCAGTTGAAGGGCTTGTGGCAGGAACTACTTTCTACGAAAACTACTTATTCATTGACGCAGTGTTCGCTGATGTGACTCGAGAATCCCTTTCACAGCTTACACCTGGTTGGGTGGGACGTTGACGTCGTACGAACCCACACTGCGCAACATCACCGACATTTTCTGCATCTGAAATGTGATTGTAACCGTGATATGGATTGCGTGATCCAGTGTACAACCTGCCTGATTCTATTAGGTGGGTGGCGATTTTCTAGAGTGTTCCTTTGATTACATACACAATGTTTCGTCTGCCAGCACCCGTGCTTGCTCGATAAAATCAAATGCGAACCCGGTGTGCTGCGAAACGAAGCAATAAAATTACAACAGGTAGTTTGTCCCACCAATGTGACCGTATCTTCACGGTCACCTATATCTGATTAGTCAGTGTCTTAGTTATGAATGCATTAGTTCTCTCCTCTCCTATTACCATTGGAGTCGTCGCTGTTAATTCAGCGTTGCGTGACAATGATGTAAAAGTATTTAACATGTACTGTGCTGTTACTGTTGATGACAATGAAGACAATGCTAGCCAAACACACACCCCGAGCGATCTGATAGGCTCCGGCGATGCACTGCGTTGGTCTCCGCGCGGTGTTTAAACCGATGTTTCATCATCGTGACAGTTGTAGCCTCGTGGACAGTATTAGTTTAGCATCAGCGTCCGCAATTGATTGTGCATGTCACTATTTCGGCTGCGCACTGTAACTGGTCTAGTATCACATGTGGTTTCTTTCTATCCGAACGCCATCCGTACAGGACAGATGTAAATTTCCGCATTAATCACGCCTTTTGAACAAGCAGACATAGTGAGATCGCAGGTGCATTTACATTATTATATCTTGAAAAACACTGCTCCAATTTGGCTTTGCTGTTTTAACGCACGGTGGAACCACACGGCTCTTTACTCTGTGAAATAAACTCTGGACTCGATTCCGTAGGCTACGCACTCCTGCGCGTCTTTTTTCTATCCTTTACTCCCTTTTTCTAGGGCCGCACTGGTGTCATGGTATGCGCCTGTTTGCTTCATTTGGGGCTGGCCTCCAACGCAGCGGACGCTTTGCGATTCTATGGGGAAAAGCGCACTGATGACGGTAAAGGTGTCACTATCCCAAGCCAGCGCCGTTATGTGCAGTATTATGAGACTTTGTTGCGGCACACTCTGGTTTACACCCGAACGACTCTCTATTTGAGCGAGGTTTTCGTCAAGGGGCTACGCGTCCAGCCAGGTGAGTTATAACTATTTCTAACGGGGCGTTCGCTCTTTACACTGAAATAAACAAGTTGACCTTGAAATTCTCAACCAGCTCTGGCCTGTTCAGTACAGTGTTTACAAGCTTTAATCGAGGCTGTTACACGCATCTGGCACCGGACACTAATTTCCTTGTTTGACCACAGTTCATCCTCACTGGAGGGTAATATATGTTTGGTTAGAGTTGAAGGTCTACTGCTCCCGCACAATTTGGTGCAACTTTATTGTTCAGTTAAATCAAGTCTGATTTGTTGAAGTTGTCATTCTGTTGCATCCTTAGTCATCGCATATACTTGATCTACTAACTGCTATATGTATATGCCACGTTGATCTATCGTGATTCACTTCACCAGTTAACACTTGCAATAAGTACTGTTGATGATCCTCGAAGGCGCAACTTAGCGATACGCTTCTATTCGGACTAATTTTTGAATGTGACTAAGTTCATCTTAAATGAATGAACAATTTACTCGGATCCGAGTGTAGCTTCGGTTTCCAACTTATGACAACAGGTAGTTGGTTCTGTTCTCATAGCTATGAAGTAAAGAATACATCAAATCTGTGCAATCCCATGTGCTGTCCCTTCTCCTATGAATTTTCCTCGGTCACATTTAGCAACCATTGTTTTCCGTCAGAATCAATGAACACGCTGTCCATATTATGTTTCCTCATAGTTTTGTATGCTGGTTTATCTATCCGGGTCTGGTTTTCCACATTGTGGAACGATCATTATATTCATATAGACCGTCCTCCTTGTGGCCACACGTTGCCATGTTTCGTATGGACAGTGACTCCATGTCACCGTCAGCATTACGATGGGCGTCCTTGTTCACATACTCTATCATCGTCCAATCCGTCACGTTCATGAAAGCATCATTATCACCCGTCATGTAGAGATACATCGATGTGTGTAAAATTTCTTGCTCTTGATTGACGTTGTTTCACTTGATCATCTATGTATTGTCAGTTAGAACTGGGCCAATAAGTGCACGATTTGCACGTGTGGTCCTAATCTTAGGGAGCAGCAATGTAGCTTATGCTGGTTCCCTAAAGCATCCACGGAGTGGTCTATAGGGCCTTCATTCCTGAACAGTGAATGAGATGTTTTCACTAGCCCTTGATTTTGCCCTATACTGATTGGTATAGAACTGAGCGTCGTGTTCTCCGTGTACAAGTTTGATTACTTGGATGCATGATCGACGTTTTCATGAGGAAACCACACCTGCTGCTATGCAACCTCAAACCCTTATAGGTTGTATTCAAAGAAACCCGTTGAGTTGAATATCGCCACATGGTTGCGTTCGTCTGCCCCCTAACCCACGTCTCTGACTGCCGGTTCATCGCTTTCATCAGTTTATAATCGAAGCATGGCATCACTAGCATCCATGGCTTGTTTTGTTGTTACTTAACAAGTGGGTCACTTTATCCCTCATCACACACCCGATGGTCACCCACTGTGATGCGTTGGATGGAGATAGCATAGGAAACGGAATAACACGGAGTCGGTAGTGAAGCCTCAATGATCCAACAACGAAAGTGCATCAGCTGAAAGGTAAAAGAGTTGGTCATATTGTACTATGTAACAGAAGGCAAGTGAATGTTCACGACATTCATCCCAACCGGATAATGGAAGTCATTTCTAAGAATTTGTGATTCACGAAAAGGGGTCAACCGGTTTTCAGATGGTTCAAAAGCTGTTGCACTCACTGCATCCGATTTTCCTCCATCTGAAAAGTGTTGCTGTCGAACTGAGAAGAAGCACTGGCTATCGTCTTGCTGTTCAGAAGTTTTACAATATGCTGTCCGGACGATGCTTCACACTACTGATGAGATAAAGCTGCTTCTCGCAATTTATGGATGGGTATTCCGCCATACACCTTGCTCTTGAGTTATGACCTATTCGTTAACTGATTTTGGTGTGCAAGCAGGCGCTCTATCACGATTATATATATATATATATATATATATATATATATATATATAATGGTTCGCGGCATCTGGTTTCCGATTTGTCTGTCACTCTGCCCAGCCACAGAACGCCTGTGCCTACAGAGGGACCATGGGTGGCTTGCGCTGCACCACCCACAGCTCCAATCACACACCCCCATATCCTGAGTAAACTCGAAGGAATAAGGCCTGGAGGCATGTGGATGGGAGCCACGTTTCATCAACGGAGCCGGCCCACACACCTTCACAGGCAAACACAAGCACGCTGTATTTGGGAAATCAAGCGCACACAATGCGGTGGCTGGACCGTAGTCCGCTCCACACTGAGTGCATGGAACCGCTGTTCGAGCCTAGCATGGCCACAAGGACCGTGCGCGTCGTCCCATCCAGCACCGACCAACTGTCTCCTGGAGCCAGTATGGACGAGGTAGTGGGTACTAGACAGGTAGACACCTTGTCTACATGCACATCAAGTGCAGCCACACCGGGGATATCAAGCAACAGCCAATTATCTGAAATGACAAGATGAAATAAAAGAAATCCATACGGTGGCATAACTCTTCGCTAAATTAGCATATAAAGTAACTTGGTTAGCAACGAATCCGCGATAAGTAAGAAATGTCCACAAATTACTTAAAAATGCTAAAAACACGACGAAGTTATATATATATATATATATATATATATATATATATATATATATATATATATATGGCGGTGAGTCCATGGCTCGCTGGGGCTTGTGGTGGCTAGATCCTAACAGGTCTTCGACCCGCTGCTCCCAGTGCTGTGCCGTGGACTCATATCCTGGAATCAAACGCCGGATGGGAGTTGGATTGCGCCCTTCTTCTAACGAAGACCCAAGACAGGCACCATTCCGCGTAATTCGCTTCACTGACTCGTGGCACACGGCCCGCCGCCTTTCGGGAGTGCACTTTCTCAATGTCTTTGGCTAAGAACGCGGGTCGTTCTCTTTTCTTTTTTAAACGCCTCGGCAGTACTCCTGCTCAAAGGCTAACCATGAATCTCATGCTGCATCGGCCGTTCTGCAGAGAAGAGGAAGCGATATGGGTCACCTTATCTGCTACATACACTAGGGTGGATAAACCTATCCATGCTACTGCTGGCACCTTCCTTCTTCTTTACCTGCACATATTCTTCCCACCCCCATTACACCTAACTCACCAATTCCTCCAATGCAGATGATTACACGCAAAGCGCTAAGCATCAGATGCAGGAACGTGCGTACAGTGCTCGACTGGAACACGAGGCAGCTTTGCAGCCAGAGTCTTGAGGCGGATATAGAGAAATTTAAGTCTGAGTTTAGCTCCGCATAATCAAGCGCATCCCGTTCCCATTTTCAACTCCGCCCTTCGACCAAGTGGACCTTCTTAAGGTACTCAAAGAACTGAAGTCAAACAAAACTAGTAACTCGGATGTTCTAACATCAGCGGTTTTAAGGGAGGGTCTTGATTCTTTCACACTATTATTAACAGTTCTCTCCCTGTGGATGTGACCGCTGACATATGGAAATCGGTAAGAATAACTCCTATGCCTAAAGATGGACATTATAATTAGGTTGCGGTTACATATACATCTATTGCTGAACGCTTTCGAAAAAATCCCGGCTATTCCACGGATTTGCACCGTCACGCCTGTTGACGATATCTACATTTTTCATATACACCCCAGCGCTCTACAACGAATACAGTAGCATACCTTGTTCATTCCATAGCGTCTGTACTAGATCAAAAGTACAAACCCGTACGGTGTCTGATTCTTGATTATTCAAACACCTTTGGAAGCCTGGATAGATCAATGTTGCTCAATCTGCTATCCGAGAATGAACTTCATCCGAGCGTGTGTAATCTGTTTCGTGACTATTTTGCGGATCGTACTCACCTCATCCTGTTAAACGGTAGAAAATCGTTTCTTCTCCGTGGAGACTATCGCGTTCTGAAGGAGCTATCCTATCACATTTACTGTCTTCCTTATGTGTCGATTGTTTATCTATAGAACCTATTTTCGTCGGATGAAGGTATGCTGACAATGTTGTGCCTCATCATTTGGTGGAGATCTTCATCCATATTACTTGCTCCTAACACTACCAGATGCAGTGATGTGATATTTCCCTTTCTTTGGGGCGATACGTAACGGTCCCTTATGTATAGCTCCCCTACTCTGACTATGAGTGACAGTCCCATACCAAGATCACCCACTTTCAAGTATCTCGGTATCGTTTTGTCCTAAAACCTCTCAAAAGAGGTTGCCCGTAAAACTTTTCTTATTATGCTTTGAGACTTAAGGTGCTTTCACTACCCCGTACTGGACAGACCAATGCACACACTTCCTGAGTTTGTTTTGCCAATTTGCCGCAAAAGAACACTGGTACATATGCTGGCCAATCGTGTATGGAAGATCTGTAGTGGGGACACAATTGAAGAGGAAATGAAGCGAATCAGGCAAACACTTCTCGAAAACGGTTATCCAGAACAATTCATTGACGTTCATATAAAGCCTAGTAGCCCAAGATCAACAGTACAAACGGTAGAGAAGAAACAGCTACTTCCCCAACTTCCCTTTAAAGGTGACATACCGGCTGAGATATGCACATGGCGACTGATACAGGGTTGCCGAAAGACGTTTAATGCAGCTCAACTAAGTGTTGTTTTTACAACCAGTTCGCTCTTTGTTCCTAGGCTCAAAGACAGGATGCCTGATCAACGCCAATCAATGGTAATCTCGCGGTTCACTTGCTCCTGTGGGACTAGGTACATTGAGCGTACGACCAGGCACTTGGAAAAGCGAATCAAGGAACATTTACCAACGTCGCTCGTCACCCAACGGGACAAAACTAGGTTGAGTGCCATAACCAACCATCTGATCTGCTCCAATCATCTGGTTGATAAGCGCAAGTCTTTTGTGATCCTCTATCGAGTGCAAACGCAACTACACCATCCGTCAGGGGCTCGGCTACTTGCTACCGCTGTAGCGGTATGCATCAGGTTGACAAAATCAAATCTATGCATTCAGAAGCAGCATGTACAAGCATTACAACTACCCTGGCCAGCCAGTAATAAAGATAGATTGGACCTCACTCAGTGGTGTCGCACGCCTACAGTCACTTGACCACATGACACGTTACGTTAACCATTTAACATTTTTATTCAGTCAATAGTTACTCTCTGGTTCCCAAATGAACTCCTCTACTCGACGTATATTCCTGTACCAAGCCTGGTGATAAATAAATCGAAAACAATTGTTCGCTTTAAGCATACTGCTTGCGTTTCTTCTTACAGTATAGCAGGTTTGATTATACTGCCTCCCCCTCATCTGCTTTGGATTGCTTTAAAATATACCTTTGTTGGGACATGCAATAAAGCACATATTTAGACACAGCGGTCTATCTCGAGATTGGTGACTTTGATTATTTCTAAGTGTCTCGACGCGTGTGATAATTTTTTCTACAGGATACTGACTGACTGATTTCATCCACTGCACAGTGACCTACCAAAAACGCACTTTTTATTCTACGCGTTCATAATTTGTAGTTTTATTTTCCCGCACTTCGTCTTGTTGTAATACTATCTTACCTTATCTGTCACACTTGCTGGTTGAACCAACAAAATTCATATATATGCTGCGCAAGCGGATGTTAGTTACCTTTTCACTCTGCTTACGTGTCTTTATTGTTTATATTCCATCCCGCGCATTAGTGTAAATGCTGAAGATGAACCCATTTCGGTTCACATAACTTATTTCGAATTAACTTGCAGTGCAATTACCAGCATTCAGTGGGGCTACGATCCCATTGTGTCTCGTTGTACGTATTCACATCTTTTTTCACAGACATCCTTGATATATCCACCTTGTTTCTTAACCGGCCCTTTGGTTTATTTTCATGACTGGTCTGATCCGTCAGACCCAGTCACTTGTCAGTTTCAACAGGTATTTGGCCTTTATTCAGAGTGGCACAGTGCACTGAAGAAGCATCCAATGATCTCCCGTTGCAGTATGTCCCAACTTTCCAACGAGACGCCCTCCAGTGTTAAATACATACAGCTATCACTCCAGTTACAAAAATTACTCGCATCACACACAACTATGTGGAGGAAATTGCTCTCACTGCGCACCTACAGTCTTCCTGAAATCGATAGCACACCCTAGCGCACCGAACATAGCAGTAACAAATCAGGTCGAGTCACCATCACATTTCTTCCAAACGGGCTCGGATAACCATATTGTGCCTACCTTGTGAAAGCAAGGACTAATCACGCCCATTTTTAAATCGGTAGTCGTTCAGAACTCGCAGACTATCGCCCACTGGTCCTCCTCCCTGTACTCGCGCAATGGTGATAGAGGTAAACATCACTGAGGCTTTGGTTAACCATCTAAAACGCTGCGACATCATAGCACCAGAGCTGCGCAGTTTCCGTCAGCACCGATCATGCACAGCCAACCCACCGACCGTACGCCTTAGTTGGACGAAAGCAGATGACAAAGGGACTGGGACCGATGCAATTTATCTGGACTTCTCCAAACTCTTCGACCGGGTGGACCACTGCATTCCGCTTCACAGACTCGGGGGCTGCGGAGTCGGAGATCTTGTTTTTGATTAAATCAGGAATTGCTTGCAGAATCGGTAACTGCAGGTTAAATTTTGAAGTTCGCTGTTCGATCCGATTTGTGTCAAACATGGAATTCCATAAACATCAGTGCTTGTGTCCAATAATTAGCTTACTCATCTGATCTCCCCGAAATCCTTGATTTTCGCTAGTAATGTTACAAGGTGGTGGATTTTTTTCGACCAAGGAGTTCACAATGCAGTCCAGCAGGACATGGACATTGCATACGTTGATCATTCCAGAATCTGCTTCAGTTTAATTCGTCCAAATGCAAGGTAGTCCGTCATCAACTGAACATCATATACGAGCTTGGAGACCACCTCCTCCGACTAGTCACATAGAAGCGCGATCATGGGGTATTCACCCAGGCTGATTTGGGTAGCTCAGAACAATCTGAGAAAGCGTCAAAGACTAGGAACCAACACGTTTGTATCCTGCGGAGAGCATTTGGGTGATTGGATCCATCTGCCTGCCCGCAGATGCTTATCTCATACGTGCGGCCTCATGTGAAATACGCTATTCAGGCCTGGCACAGCGCTCGAGACTCCACATCGAAAAAACACAAAACACATCAAAGAATTGTTGCACTTTCCATACCAACTTAGGCTGAGAACCCTAAGATTACACAGCGGTCGGTGCCTACATGGTGACCGAATAATGGCCTCCCAAGTTCTGGACAACCCCAACCATATCTGCTGCTACCTACTGCGACTGAGCAACAACACGAACCTGATGGACCAACAGTTAAAGTTAACCACGCACTGCAGCTCGCTAAAGTGTCGCCGAAATGCCCGCCAGGTATGAAGCGCCCTCTGTAAAATGGTTTCCGTCCTCACATTCCTTGTGTATAAAAAGTACTAACGTTGCTGTAGCTGTGTACATCGAGAGACGATATACCTTAGGCAACGGTGTGCCATCCAGCGTTGCCCTACACGATCAATATAAGCTCTTTTACGCATGCCGCCTCATTGTGAGTATAATAATGAGTCTACCAAAACGATTTTCATTTTGTGGTTCTTATTCTGGCCATCCGACGGGACTTGTCAAGCGCTCGCTTTATTACTTGAAATACACAATTGTGCATTCCATTGAACACTCCCGCTGTTCATGCACTAATCCGTGCTTGTATCACAGGGACATCTATACGGTATCAGCCGCTTTCATGTCGAAGCTTTATAGGCGTGGTTATCGTAGATCTGAGCTGTGTCTAGGGTCTACTTAAGGTTACGAAACATCGTTTTCAACAGCGCTTCATGATGATTGTGCTCGCTCTAACGCCTCACCTTTCTCAGGGTCAGTGGTGGATTTCAAATTCCGCACCCGGTCGATGCATCACATTCTTCCGATTCACGCCTCTGATACTCCTGTTCATCGTCGATCTGTTTCCCAGTCGGATGCGTTGGATTATCCCCTCACCAGTCCCTCGACCACCATCCTAACAGCGCCGTCTCCCATGAGGGCTCAGGTTGACCCTAAATCCCTCAGCTCCTGTCCCACCAACGTTGGTCTCCTTTCAGACCCCCTAATTACCCTTGCAACGCTTTCCTCCTTCCCGGTGCATGATAACGTGGTTTACGCACGCGCCGATCCAGACCTACCTCTCTCCGGTGACGTTTGTGTGAAAGTCAGCTTGAAACAACCGGTGCTGAACAAGGTGAGTTCAGTAGAGTCCCGGTGACCTTTGCCATCACTTAGTTTGCAATCACTCTGCAAAGACAGGATCTTTTGCGGAGCACATGTTCGTGTTAATTTTTAACCCGACTGGCTTGGTCTACCGCAGTTGTTGTCAGAAAATCTCCTGGATATTGTCTTCCTAACTGAAACCGATTTTCTGAGCCAATTCAGTACTGTAGTGCCCTGTTTACGAAAGTTACTCCCGGTTTTGGTGTAAGCTGTTCCATGAATTCCTGGCTGCTGTTGTACTTCACAAACGATCGGAAATACTTAACAGAATAACCCACTGAGAACATAATGTTGTTTACAAACCACTAATGCTCATTGGTCTCGTTTTTTTTCTTTCTGGTGTTACCTCATCCCATCCACTTGCTGACGCATGGGATACTCGATCCCATCATAGACGTTTTCCACTTAGGAGCTACAGAAAAGATAAGGCTTATAGAAGCGTTTCTTCTGAGCCAGCTAGTGCTACGACGCCTTAATCCGTTTTAAACTTTGTCCTTGATGGCGTCTTTTGCGTTCTTACGACTTCCTTTCACTTTTTGCGACGTTTTAGTGCTTTGTTGACACCGATTTTAGAGCAGTATTATGTATGTAATCCTGGAGGAACTAGGCCGTTTGGCTATCAACACGTATGAGCTATCCCATACTAGAGTGAAATCGTTGTCCGGATTTTGAGGGGAAATCCCCATTCTCTACTTCGGACGACTGAAGTAGGGACAATGCCATCACCTCCACCTCACACGCTACTGGTCCACCTTACGTGAACCAAAGATAACGTTCATCAAACTACAACGTCCGCTTCATGAGCATCATATTCTGTTTCGGCCTAGTAAATGGATTAGTATAACAGCAGTGACGCGATCATTCTCGTCCTCCACATGTTCGGACATTGCTTATTCGGTTGCATAGGCCGCCTACAGTTGTGCATTCTCCCAAACGACAGTAATATAGTACAACTGGCGTTCTCTGGCGTCTTCCACGCAAGCTGATACTTTGATTTCAGGCCATTTTTGCGTCGTTTGACAAGATGAACCGTGCGCTTCCATATGATAGGAGCAGTTTTTAGAATCAATTAGTCTGTCTCTGACGCCGGACCTGGCACATGTTGCCATTTTTTCACACACTCCACAGTGTCCTCTCCTATTTTCCCATCGAATTTGGATCTCTTTCGATAAACATTCTGCAGTGGCGGAAATGGTATTTGAATTTAAGTATGGCACCGTCAGTACAGTGCTTTTCGTTTAAAATAATTTGTAGCTTCTCACTCTGTATGGCCGATGTAACCTTGGGTGAGACACCTATAACAAAGCATGCGATGTTCGAGTGACGCACGGAATAATTGTCTGTTGTTGGAGTTTCAACCCGTTGGTCTGTAAAGCAGAAAACAGCGTATTGATTTCCTCTCATGTGCACTGAAGTTCGGAAGTTTAATGTTGACAGTCACTCACTCCATAGTTGAGTATGGCGCACATCGCTTGGCAGTTTGCTTTTCCTCACATGGTAGGGTGCTTGCTTCCGGAATCTGGGCACCAGAACTTGGTAAGCGCTTGTCCTTGGCCGTGATTTTGTTCCTCCTTGTCTTTCTAAACCCCAAATGCGTTTTTTCTACTAGGTCATCTGCTTTGCCTGTTCGAATCTTGTTTGATGTGTCTGGCCGGATTGACAACGTGTTGATAACAAGTATTAAACTCCATACTTCGACTGTTCACTTACACCCTTACTTCTAAGGATGCATTCTTTAGCAGGAAGTAGTAGTGAAAGTTCTCACCATCCACGTTTAACTCATTAGGCTTTTATCCATCCGACCGAAGCGCGTACTCTGTTCCAAAACCACGCACATCTTTGTGGGGTACAGAGCGCACGCAGTGGAGTGATCTTATAGCAGTGTCAAGCGCGGACGAGGTCATTGGTTCTAACGGCACAGATCCTGCACCCTGTTGCGTCGGTGATTCACAAATAAAAGTATGAAAGATTAGAGATAATCTGCCGCTTGAGAATTGAACTTAGCATATCGACAGAAAATAAAATAGATTCCTTTACATATTATCCTGTATTATGTTGTAAAAATAGTCCAGATTGTTTTATGGACTGGTTCAACGTATTTATTACAAAGACAGCACAAGATTGTATGTTGAAGCAATGTAATGCTTCATCATACGACTGGAGAGGACGCATCTTTCTTATGGGTAAACGGTTGCCAGTGCTAAGGATAACTGTACGCATGGTTGCACATAACCAAACAAGTCTATATGCTGCATCTCGAAAGCCAAGGTTTGGCGATTATCGCCGGTCAGATAGTGAGCCTTTATATACAAATAAATAATGAGCTATTATCACTGGAGTAACTTAATGAAAATGAAAAATGTGTCAGCTTATACGCCGTAACGGCGCTTTGCTGCCGCGCGACCACCACCAGTCGCGCGCGGGCTGAGTATACCGCGAGGACGCCCACCCCTACGCGGATTCGAACCGGTGACCTTATGGTTGGAAAGCAAACGTGCCAACCACTCGGCCACCGGCCGACACTGGAGTAACTTACTGACCAGTTATTGAATTATTGTATTTTTATCGGTCAGAAATGTTCCAGGCAAGTTACTACAACTGTTCCATAAGCCCTTGTGTGGGTGTATGTAGTTTTGTAGCTCTGTCTGGTCGAGGAGGTTGGTACGCATACAAACAATGCCCTGTGAGTGAGGTGGTTATCATCAGTAAGTATTTTAGTTGGGAGTTTATTACAGTAATTGTCATGGCTGGACACACTGATGTCAACAAGTTCCGGCCTTGAAATGCCACTACACCGAAACAAATGCTTCACCGATTTGACAATTGCTTTGAGGGCTATCTCAGGAGCACGGGGAAGATCCATGGAGAGCAATAGGCCTAGTAAAGTAGTGCACTCGCAATGAGAAAAACGTTACCAAAAAACGCGGTAAGGAAGAAGACCTGCGACGTGTGACGCTGGACTCGAGATTCCTAACATAAGTGAATGGCTCGTTCGCGTGAATGGACCACTAGGATGGGAACCGTGTGACCTTGCTTCAATATGACCTCGGACCGCTGACTTGACTTGTCGTCTACGTCTCCGCTTACATCTCAGAACAGTAATCTAACTTGTGTCAGACCCACTACCTATTTGAGCGACAACGTTGGGGGTCAGCCAATTCGGATGGACACAGTTACCCCGTACTAATGTAAATCATTTTCCAGATTTACGCCTCGAATCCCTCCCTACTTTGGACGACTGGATTAGGGACAATACCATCATATTTACCGCATGCGTTACTGTGGGAACTGGTCCACCTAGCGCAAACCAAAGATAGCGTTCGCCAAACTGCAACATCCGCTTCGTGATCTACGACATTAACGGGACTGAAGATCACACTGACACGCACTGCTCGCTCCTGGAAAGCTAAGCGTACAACATCGTAATTAAACCTTAATTGTGGTGCGGTAAGCAGTTTTCAAGGTGTACGAGTTGGAATAGAATGATTTATCTCTTGTAAAAAATACCATCCAGTGTGTACTCGCTTACATCTCAGCGATGTTAAGAAACTTAATAATGCGATTGAGTCCGTATGGTTCTGCACTGATTGTACGGCTATTCCACACGTCAGATGTATAGCGGTGTCGGCGCAAATTGTAGAACAAACAGCCGCCATAATGGCTGTCCTACTGGAACCAGACTAGTCAGTGTCCCAAACTCGGTGATCAAAATCAAACTCCATTTCAGAACAAAGCATCCAGGCTGAACGTAAGAGCAACGATTCAGAGTTAGGCGCCCCGACACGAAGGGCTCCTCACAAGGATGCTTTCGCAGCACATGCTTCGTTAAAGCTGCACGATATATCCAATATTACTGAGGGACCGACAACCTATGCCCCCGTTGTTGTCGCTTACATCACAGCGGCATCGGCCGCCGTAGTTCCGGCCGCCGCCAAACCAGGTTCACTTGGTGCTTACACTACGACTGCGAGACCTACGACACCAACTGTTGTCTTACCAAAGAAAGCAGCCACACATTCTTCCAAAATGGAGAATACCATGCAAGCTCAGAATTCTCTATTACATGTTCCAATGTACCTGCATCCTTGAAAAGCTCCACCCAAGACGAGCTTCGAGATAACCGGTAACAGTGGGACTCTGTATCAGCTAATAGCGGTTCAAACTGAACCGGCCAGTGTGCTGCATCTCGACTGCCATCCAAACTTAATACGCTACAGTAAACTGTGGTAACGTTTTATTCAGGAGATGGTACAGATGCACTTCCTTTGTCATTAACTCATCTCCATACTACCCACACACTGTCCGTATTTTTCCAGATGTTCCTTGGTACGAACGTCAGAAACGAAAATAAGAATCCGGATGACTTCTGCAAGCAAAATGACGTAAAATCGCTTTTTATTCATGATGTCCCCGTGCTTTAGACTTCAAGCGAGCTAGAGGCAAAAACACATGAATGTGATGAATGATTCTTCATCAGTGAAGCGCTCCCACTCGAGAACGTTATCGCCAGTTAGACATCAAGGTTACCGTTATCACCCAACTGCAAAGTGAGTAATCCCCGAGGGATGATGACAATGTTGTAATCCAAACTGATACCGGGAAAGCCAATCGAAATATGGCACAAAGTGCGTAAAATGTTGCTACCCGAAATACGTATAAAGACCTTAGACACTCTGCCACGAGAATACTAGGTAATACTGATCAGGCAAGTCACATGTGCGATCCCGTCACCATGCAGCTCAGAACCGGGACACCATCAAAACCCCCCAGGCAGCTGAAGGTGGACGACGTTATCATCTGCTTGCTAACATCGAGTATTTTATACAACAAGCTGGAATGGCCTAAGGGCCTGTATCGGTGGTCCTACACAAAACGACCAGCAGCCGACCTCCTAAGGGTCCGCATGGACCACCCGAAATCAGCATCCAGTAACACGCTTCTAACCTCCGATGTTCTCATCTACTTGTATAT